AAAAGTTCTTCCTGACGAAGGCCGGACTCCGGCCGAAACGTCGAAGATTAAATCGTCCGTTGTTGCTGTTTTTCACTAAGGGTTTTTTTCTTCTCAGTTTTATACCCACGCCTTCGGCTTCCCGCCACCATGCCCGTTATTTATATATATATATATATATATATATATATATATGTATGTATATACGAACATATGCAGATGTATGAACCGTACTTAATCCAATGAATCAAGGAGGCAACGTTTTTTCAGGAACCCGCCGAAAGTCAAAATAACGGCGGAGCCAGGATTTGAACTCTGGGCCTCCCAATGTCCGGTCGGGTGTGCTAACCTCTACACCACTCCACCTTGGCTTTCTGACGTTTTTTATCTGTCTGCTTAAGAAACGAAATGTATCCAATCGGAGGTGTTCTGGAAACACACGCCGCCGCGTGGAACGCGGTACGACGCTTGGTGTCACGTGGTACGTGCTCGTTTGTGCTCCAGAAATCCTCCCACTGTTTGTCTCGTCCCGTGTACATGTAGTACTCTTTGTTTTTATGAGCTTCAGAGACACGGTATTATCATCATCTGCGAGAATCAAGAGCCACGTTATTGAATATACAACACGGGCATTTCACACCATCGTACGTGGTCTGCCAGGAGGACATACACGAACATATGCAGATGAATTAACCGTACTTAATCCAATGAAGCAAAGAATCAAAGTTTTTTTCAGGAACCCGCCGAAAGCCAAAATAACGGCGGGTTCCTGAAAAGACTTTGATTCTTTGATTCACTGGATTAAGTACGGTTCATTCATCTGCATATGTTGGTTTGTATCCTCCTCGGAGACCACGTACGATGATGTGAAGTCCCCGTGTTGTGTATATATATATATATATATATATATATATATATATATATATTTGTTGTGTACTAAACTGGAGGATGAAAACGACTATGCTGCAAGTGCAGATGGCACGGGCCGGCCGGTAATTAGCGGCGAGATGTTTTAGTGGTGCCCTCCTGTGGTTCCCCCTTGTGACGTCATTACCTTGCAAACAACAAGTTCCATGGTGTTTGTAAATAGCATGGTGGAAGCTTGAAATCATTGCGCTCTCAAAGGAACACTGCCAACACCGTCAAAATTAAAGTTCCGTCATTTCTTTTAGTTCCGTCGATGATAAATCCTTTTCTGATGTCATAGTCAGCGTTCGGCTAATCGTGGAAGGCCGGCCACAGCGACGCTTTCGGTCGCGCACGGGGCTAATTACAATCCCTTCGAGCAGAGTCAGAACCTAGATGCTACGTAAAGAATAAGCATGCAATTCGTTACGTTCTGATTTTAGCGTCGGAAGCGGAATGCCGGGTCGTCAGCGGAATATCTCTTCGGGAAGTCTACTCCCGAAGTAATGTTCACGTGCTCTTCACGACCCCGGCGTCCAAAGGAACCAAGTCAGCATGGTTAAAGAGATTCACCCTTCGTCATTCCTTATCACAAATATCGTCAAAATCGAGTTTATCCAGACCCTACGTTTCGGTAGGCTTTCTCTCTGCTTTGAAGATGGATCCGCTGACGTGAGAGTCTTTATTGAGTGATGAAATTGTCACTGCCTTCGCACATCTGGTAATCAAAGTACGTATGTCCGCGTTTGTCTGGAACGTTCGGTTGGTGGTCTGGGCAACCATCGACTGTCCATTTGAACGCGTAAACATTGTACGGTCTTCGAAAATATCGCCAAGCATGATAAAGCGGACGGAATCAAAAACATTTCATCAGATATACGCATAACACGGAAGTGCGTCTTGAAGCTTGGTAATGCTAATACACCGTAGTTTTCTCGCGAATTCTTCTAAAAAAAATGCGCCGTAGACGTCCATATTAGCACAATGTACAGAAGCCAGAACATTTTTTTCAGCGCTTACTACACGGGAGTGGCAAGGCAAATAGGAGCATACGCCCGCAAACGGAAAGAAAAAGCCCACGAATTTCAGGGTGGACACAATTTACTAGCTGAGCAAGAGGAAAAAAAGACGGTACTTGACGGTAAACATCTTCGACATTAAGTAGGCGGTGTTCTGGTCACTGTTCTTGTAACGTAACGTAGGCCTTGCACGTACACAGACGGTAAGGCACCTATAGATCTGTTGATGTTTCCCGGCGTCTGTTCAATGCGCCAAGATTCTAAGAGAATTCTTTTTCGGAAATCTGGCTCCGGGTCAGTCACGTGCGCATGAGCGAAGTCAATAGGATGGTCACCCGCTTTGGAGTGTTCAGAAACGTGAAAGCAGCGCAGTTGCTGAACACCGCGAAGTGCGTGACCATCCGATTGACTTCGCTCGTGTCCAGATTATTGACGCGAAGCCAAATTTCCGAAAAAGGCTTCTCTTGGAATCTTGGCACATCCAACAGACGCCAGGAATCATCAACAGATTCCTAGGTGCCTTACCGTCTGTGAACGTGCAAGACCTGCACGTTCACAGACGTCACTGTTACAAGAACAGTGACAGAAACACAGCTTGAAAAGAGAAAATAATGTTTCCTCATTTACAAAAACGAAGAGGTTGAAGCTGAGGCTGCTTATATGAATCCCGGAGAAAAGCTCACCGGAGAAAAGCTCACCGAAGAGAAGCTCACCGGAGATAACCTCACCGGAGAAAAGCTCACCGCAAAACCGGCGGATGCGGAGAAAAGCTCACCGGCCGTTGAGCGTATGCGGAGAAAAGCTCTCTGATATTTTTTCTTCTTTTTATATGGAGGCTGTTGGATCGTGCGTAACTTATATAAATTTATTATCATTAAAATTCGTCAGCTTTGTAAAAAATAAAATGTCCGCTTTTGTAATATTTGTTAGGCTTATTGGGTATATTGCTCCCAAATTAATAATTGCGGGCGAGTGTTTTTTGTGGCTTACTCTCTAGGCAACGAAAGCCTAACTAAAATCTTTATAAACTTGAAGAACAGGAAAAAGTTAAAAAAAAAACGTAATGATGACTGCCAGAACCTAAAAATCAAAGGTGTAAATGCCCAAAATTCAAAAGTGCATGCGCAACAACGCGGGGCGTGAAATTCTCTTTGAAGCGTTTGTTGACATTTGAAAACGAGACAGTCAGTAGGATATCGAGGCTTCTTCCACGGACATGCAGGCTTTCTAGCGGTTCGAGCTGGTGTTTCCACGCGTTCCCTTTGTGTGAAAGTGCCTTCTACGGTGAGCCACCCATGACCTTTAGAGGTGCACACTGTCACCGTGGTTACTTGTGAGCAATATAAGAACTAGTCTTTTGTAAGGTAGGTAGCGAATTGGGCGAGTTGGTAAACGATATACATGATGAAAACCGCTCAAACGACGACGACGGAGTGGAGACAACAAACACGACACGACGAAGCTGTTCTCGCAAACTAAAGTTTTGTTAGTGAAATTAACACGAAAGAAAACAGCGTAGCCGACACTGATTGCATTAACGGACATCTATTATCTATTATATAGCACTACACAATATTTGGACCTCAAGCGATTCACACACCGCTATTCACATTAACTCGCAAAAAAACAAACCTCTTTATCTGACAGAGCTACCGACGGCGCATCCTCAGCTGTCAATAAATTGTTGCCTTTTTTTACCGGTGTACGATGTTCTGATTTTATACTTGCTTGCGGCTTCATTAATTTACAGGATGGGTGATTTCTAATTTCTGAGGAATTAGTAAATATTCCCAATGAACCTCAAGAATATTACAAAAACGAGGACATATTTTTATTGAAGTGACGAATGCGAACTGTGTTAAAGTGCCAAGTTTGACGCAGAATCAAGCTAAGTTAAAAAAATAACGGTGAGCTTTTCTCCGCATCTGCTGAAAGGCCGGTGAGCTTTTCTCCGCATCTGCCGGGTTTGCGGTGAGCTTTTCTCCGGTGAGCTTATCTTCGGTGAGCCTGTCTCCGGCGAGCTTTTCTCCGGTGAGCTTTTCTCCGCCGTCCGCCTTATACGACTTACAGCCACCCTTAAAGAAGGAGCCAAGTAGGCTTAGAAACGTCGGGACTTCTTTTTACGGTTTTGTGGTTGAAGAATTCTCTTTTAGTTTCAAGAGGATAGCCTTTCGATGTAGCAAACCCGATGATGAAGACACGAATGCTGCATCTACAATCTAGATGCATAAATTAAAGCGATATTATTCATCAGTGAAAGAACGTGGTTGTCCTGTGCTTGTCCTCCATGTTTTATTCTTTTCATTTTAAGTGTTCATGTTCAACTCGGGCGCCTTTACCAGTTATTTATTTATATCTACTCTTTTCGGTGTTAAAGCACCACAAAATAAGCTAGTCCTACCGCAAATAAAATGGTGCTAGTGTGTAGTAAAGTGGTAAGCTGGGCGAGTTGGTTAACGTTAAACATCATAAAAGATCGCGAACAAAGGCACAGTGAAAAACGAGGAGGATACAAAGAACACAGACAGGCGAGTCAGATACCCGCCTGTCTGTCTTCTATGTTCCTTCCTCTTTAGTCCTCGTCTCTGTGCGCGATCTTTCATCATGTTCGGTGTTAATCTTAAACGGATGCGGAAATTGAATACGATCAAGCAGGTATGTGGCATACTTAGAACACAACCAACATGTTGATCCGCAGCTTCGCGTGTGAGAAACTTTTGCCAAAGTCACTGTGAATGATTCTATAAGAATAGATGCAATAAATAGAGAGTACAGACCAGGGAAAAAAATGCGCGTTTTTTAACGATTAACCACTCATTATTCACAAAAACAACTATATCAGTAAATTAAAAATGTGAAGTTTTATGGCTTATCTCTTAAAGCCCGCTAACCAAATAAAGAAAATAACGGTAACAATTACTAAATGGCGGCGTCCTGCTTCATCAAAAGCTGAGGATACTTATTTTTATTTGATCGCAAAATATCCAACGCTAACCCATTATTCTTGTAGAATGAACATATTTGTTTGCTTAAACACAAAGATAATTTTATTTAATGCAAACTATCAAAATATAGTATGAGCTGTATCACACTCACCATCACACATGCCATAATAACAAGTCAAAATTCCGGGGCAGGCGCTGTTGTCTTTGCAAGGAATCTCTGGACACAAACATGGAAGAGGAAACCATTAGAAAGAAAAAGAACTCGAACTAAAAAAACTCATAATAAAACGGCAATGCTCTAAGCAGCAAACGAGACTCAAGGTAAAACATTCAATTAGTCACCTTTTAAGCAAGCATAGATAGCACAGGCGTTCACCAATTGAAGGTTTTGGAAGTTCCCGCTGCAGAGATGTTAATCTTGTCAACCATCTTCAGCTGTTTTCACCAGGAACCTAACCAGGAGAAGGGCGCCCCCACCCCCTCCCCCAACCCCCTCGATTTTTTTTGTTGCTATTTCTCTTTGTCGCGAGCACCATCAAAGCAGGAAAGTAGATGCTCTATGCGTTTCAGCAAGAACCTTCATTCGCACAGAAAAATGACTACGATGGAAGAGAGGGTAAGCCGGTTTACAGCCTTCATTGTCCACAATGTCACTCCTCTTCACATGTCTGTTTCCAAAGAACTGGTCGCCTTTGATGAGAGCTCCAAGCCTCGAGTCATTCAGTTTTTCAGGGGGCATAACAAGCCTATACTGAATGTCTCACGAGAAAACTGTACAGTGAAATCCGTCTGCCCTTTCCTGGTTCTAGACCGACATTGTTTCTTCACTGCTGTGGTGCACCTCAAGTTAAACCAGCATATTTTACGTCGATACATATTATCATTTTAAAAAAAGTTAAATTTCAACTTTTAAGGTGTAAATTTCACACATATATCGCGGGTACAAAACTTCGCGTATGGGAGTGCGATGCCATGTAGTAGTTACCATCGGGAAATATAATTCGCGGGATATAGTTTACCGTATAGCTTTAAATATGAGAAATTCTCGAAAACTGAGCTGTTTATAGCATGCCCTCTACGATTATACTTCCATCAAAAACTGATAAATTAGTAAAACAAATTAAAAAGTGAACAAAACAATTTTTATAATTTTTTGCCAATGCAACCGTGACAGCGGTTTGTCAAAAATTGTGCAAGTATTGGTGAGACTCACTCAACATCGACTGTTCTGACATTTTAGTGCCGGATTCTCCGGATTAAAAGTCGCACTGTTTTATAAATCGCGCCCCTTACAAATGGCTCTTTGGACCAGCCTCGGACAGCGGGAAGAACGGGTCACCGGTGGGTGCTCTGTCATTTTTTAGTTTGTCGTAAATGTCGATACGGTTTACATCTTGTGCAGTTGAATACCACATTTGTATTTAGAGAAATATATACAATTCGTACCATTTTCTTAAGACCGTCAAAACGTTTCGGGAAAACCGCAACTAATACAGCGGAAAATGTTTTTTTCTTTTTTTTTTCATGCGGGTTTGTCAGTCTTGTACTAGGTCGAGAACCACATGAAAGAAAATCCACAAACTGAAACGTGTAGTGCATGGTTAGCACGTGGTTTTATTGGCGGTGACCGGCTATTTTTATTATTAAACGTGACCTATAAACCCTTTCATTGTATGCATGCTAGCGAGCGCTAAATAAATAGCCCAATCAAATGATTCCGCCTATGTTTTTTTTTTTTTTTTAAGTCAAAAGCGAAAGAATACAAGTGCAGTTATTGCATGGAGCATGAAGAAATTCGCCTCCTTGAAATTATTTTAAAACCACAAAATGTCAGTCTTTTTACATGGACAGTATTTACATATCTACTTATATGAAAAAAAAAAGATTTAGTGAAAGGTATTTGAATAAACTTGGAGCTTCTCCATACTTACCCTTGCATGTACCATTGTCACAAACCGCACGTGGCAAGCAATTAAAGTGATATTGGCAACGCAACCCTGCACAGTGACATTAAAGTGCAAAGTATGAGCAAGAAAAACAACTGGAGCTCGACAAAAGGTATAAATAGTCTAGTGGTGAACATACTAAAACAAGGTCACAGTGGCGCGTGGCACTGTCAAGGGTCCAACGTCCCTCGTACAAATGAGCAGAAACGTTCTCGCTCTCAATAATGGTTTCTCGTAGAGAGGAAGCCGGTAAAGACGGAAGAAAATAAGGGACAACACACTCAGCGCCAGGAAAAGTGCGGCGGTTAACTGTAAAAATATATATTTCATTTTCTGAAACCACCTGACAATGGGTAGAGAACGAAAACATTCCAGATCAGAGGGTAAAGGACAAACATATAGTTATTATATTGTATCTAGAGTCTCATCCGGCGCTAGTGTGGTGTTGCAAATTGAAGCAGACAGCAACCAGTCGACACTTCACTTCCGGTAATGCATTTCTACAGGAAGAAGCGAGTGCATTTTTTTTCTGCGCTGTATAATAAGGGCAAATATTGCGAATAATTATAATGTAGTAAATAGTTTGGATTATTTCTCGATCCTGTAAATGAAAATATTGGCCAGATACAAGGCTTTTCGGCCAAATTCACGTCATTAACTACAGTGCTCAAACAGCTTTATGCATGCATTTATGTGCACTGCCGG